TTAAAGAGAACGCGGCGCTCCGACGCGCGGTCCCGGTATTTTGGCTGCTCTGCAGTAGAGGAGCTCGCTTGCCGTGCCGCTAGCTTTTGGCGGGCAACGTCACGCAAATTTGGGTCCTTGAAGTTTTTCTGTCATGTCGAAAATAAAATGCAGCGGCAAGAAAAGAACAAAAGTCCAAGTTAGTCGAATCTTTGAAACAGGTAGGACGTAAAGTTGTGGAATGCGAGCCTTGTGCAAGTCCGACTCCTTGTTATGCCGCTTCAGTTGGTCCGCGGTCTTGAACTGACGTGCGCAGAGCAGACAGGTAAGAGCGCCAACGTCCGAAAACTCAAAGTCCTCCTCAACAGGCAATACTGTTTCGGGAGCAGCAGAAACATTGATAGGCTTCGAAACAGAGGACGGCCCGGGTTTGTTTGAAGGCGCCTGCGCAGAGAGGGATACACAATGAGAACAAAGAAAATCCAATTGTCTGGAGAGCATAGCCAAGGAAGATGGGTCACCAGAGCAGAAGACGGCAAGACAACACTCGTGTCGTTTGTTAGTTCCTCCTGGACTTGATTCCACTTGTTGATGTTGTTCACGGTCTGAAGTCACGCAATAATTAGAGCGAGGGCAAGAGAGAGTCAAGACCTTTAAACATCTGAGCACGTTACCTTCTTGCTCGCGATCAAGGGCGCTACTTTTTTCCCAGTAGGAGCTGTCCCGAAAGATTGAGAGGGACATTCACAGAAGTAGCGACGCCAATGTCTGACCTTTGGTTCGATCATCGTCCGCTTCAGTCTCTACAGGCGAATCTCCGGCCGCATCGTCCATAGAAAACCCTAAGGCTACCGCCTTGACGGGTACTATTTGAAAAGTGTGGGAATTGAGGATATCCATAGCGGTGATGCAGACACACCAGGCCCAGACCTCCCTAATCCTTTGTTGAAATTTAATGTGACGGGCTTGTTAGATATAGGTAGGACGGATGGTGCCGCCGGCACGTTACGAAGGGCGGGCTCGGAGTCCCCTATACGTCTGTTAGCCGGAGTCTACGTCGAGCTGCGACATTTACCTTTCGTTTTCTTCTTTTCCTTCTTCTCCTTTGTCTGAGCGGTCATCGTCTGCGCAGGTTGCTCCACTTGAAATTCTAGTTGAGCTATTGTCGAGCCTTCATCCCAGTACCGGACCAATGTGCCCTCCTCTCCTCCGAGATTGAGTGACGATGGAATACATGCATCGTCTCGAATCATGAGATCCGCAATAGGCTGAAAAGAGTATGGATGGGCGAATGAGGCTGCGACGGGACGATCTGAAATGCGAAAACCGGAAGGATGTATCTGCGACGACATGGTGGCAGCCAGGACAGCCGACGCCGACTAAAGAGATATCAGATGTGGATAATTGAAATGGGTATGAGAAGAAAAGATAAACCTGAACATCCACGAATTCAACAAATGCAAAGCCAAAGCTGGCCATGGTGACCTTGTCTTTGATTAGAATGATGCGCTTCATTCCTTTTGCCCCTTCCTTTCCGGGACCAGATGAAGAAAGCATCGCCTGGTGGATGGCTTGGGGACCTGAAAGAGGATCAAGGCCACGGAATAGCAAGACAGCAGCTTGGGAATTGCCGATGTCGCGGGTGCCATCGTTCAGGTTGCCGCGGTTCATCCTACCCTTTTCGTGAGGAGTGGCACTTTGTGAGTAGTCGATTTTGACTCTTCGACCATTGTGCGGAAGGCCAGTCTCAAGGGCTTTGTAGAATGCGGCCGTCGCCGATGCGCCATGAGACGCTGGTGGTGGGACTTGTATAAATGGGAAGAGAGGATCGACGAATGCGCGGGCATGGTCAATTGTTGGAAATTGCGCAAAGCCAAAGCCCTTGGATGAACCTTGTAAAATCCAACCGCGGATAACGTTAATGGATGTGCAGAAACAGAGATACGAATGGGCAAGTGCCTGATGATCTCTCTCGGATGATTGTCACGGTTTCGATGGTACAACCATTGGAGGCGAGGTATTTCTGGAGCTGGAGGCCGGCTTCAGTCACAGGGTAATGACGGTATAAAAAGGAGGGAGTCGACAGACATCGGCCTCGGTGAAGTCGGGATCCAAACCCAGGAAAATGACATGGGGGCTCGGCTCCGATGGCTGCAGGCGCTTTTTGACAAAAGGTCCGCCGGCGCCTCGCTCCTGGGATGGGTCGGAGCGACCCGTATACGACGCGGTATCGTATGCATTCTCTGTGTATGCATGCGAGGCTTCGTAACCCTGGAAGAAATAGATGAGGGGAGGATCGAAGAGAAGAGGCTGTGACTGACGCCAGCATTCATTTTTCTTCGCTTTCCCTCAGTGTAATAGTCCTCGTCTCTCGGATGGACGTTTGTAGCGTTCCAGGACTGTTGCTGGCCCCACGACGCCTTTCCTTGGTCCCATTCGCGATTGTAAGCCATTGTGGACGTGGAGTCCAAAAGAGCAATGTCAAACAAGGTCATACAAACACTACTTGAAATGGGAGACGACCACGGTCAGTACCAGTCTTTGTTCTGAGCTGCTTTCTGACTGGTAGTTCCCTTCTAAATAGCCCACGTAAAGGTTGGCCGTCCCATTTCTCACCAGCTGGCTTTTCACTCGCGCGTAGGTTCAGGATGCAGCGATTGAGCGGCAATCGTTCATGGTACTTGGTCTCCGCCCATACTCTCTCTTTACTAGCTCACACGCGTCGTCCATTCAGAGAGAAGACCAGTTCAAATACTTCCGTTGGACGAACAGGACAGTGCGGTCGACATTCTGGGGAGTATTAATTATACCCGTTGGTCTATACCTTGCCATACGTGCAAATCAGGTCGGTTTATACCTTTCAGCTGTCTTCCGCACTTACCGTTGCATATAGAACAAATGGGACTGGACAGGGAAGCAGCGGGACCAGTCCTTGGCCAAGTCGTAGTAGCCGCAACAACAGAAACAAAACGCGTCTATTAGATCCTCTTGCACACCTCTATCGCGACCTTGCAACCCGCGCCGACCACGCTGCTCAACAGAGCATGTGCTGGTGCCCGTTGGGCGTTGTGTTCTACTGCAATGTCTAGATGCTCGAGTTCATCGTCCCTAAACTCGCGTACGACGTCCCTCAACAACGGAATACTGGGGTGTTCCGACGGCAGCGATTCCATCTCTTTGAGTTGGCTAGATATACATCAGTCAAAATTCAGGTGTTGGATTCGAGAAGGGCGAGCTGACTCGTCGTAGTGCTCTCCGATGACCGTTTCGACTGCTTCTGTGCAAGCCATAGCTGCTTCCTTGCCCATGAGCGCGGTGACCGCTCCTAAGCCAAAGCCAGCGACTTTGGCAACATCTGAAAGTAATGTTGGTCGTATTCGATGCTGAAGCTGCAGTTTATCCATGACTGCGAGGTGTTTCTTCTCTTGATCCCACATTTCCTGCCGTGAACGAATTGAGAAAAATTGACATGCATTGTCGTTGAACAAACTGACTTGGATCAACGGTTTAAGTGCGCGATCCCTTCCTAGAACAAACATCTGGCCCATGTAGATGTAGTTGGCGGCGATTTCGCCAGCCTGGTCGACGCGTAGAGCGCTGTCAAGTTGTTCCCGCTGAGCATGCGTGATATTGGGGGTAGTGCAGACGGAAGGATCGTTTGCCCTCGCCGGGTTGGTGTAAATAGCGGAGGGCAGCGTACTATATGCCCTCCTCAGTATTGACGGTGGTCGTCGCAAGAGTGCGGCCATCATAGGCTCGTTTCAGCCTCTCTAATTATCTGAAGACAGGACCATCACACATACGGTCTCGTGATGCCAACCTCTTTTACCCAGAACGCTCACAACTTGAACCAATTCACAACTTGCTATGTCTTCGTGTGTCTTATTCTGTTAATGCTCGCCATGGGAGTCTCATTCAGATATTCTAGCTTCACCCCGACCTCCCCTGTAAACATGTCAATGAGAAGGATTGGGCTGCCAACTTGGGTTACCTCGTCGTTGCTCTTCCTCCCTCCCACTCTCAATGGTTTTCTCTAGGCATGCTCGACTGGGATTCCACGAGCATCATCTTCACCAAACGCTCATTGATGGAGTTCCTCAAGTTTGTTGTCTCGCCACGTCCTCTATCCGCATCGCTGACCGGAGCAGATACACAGGCACAACTGTGGACACCAACTTTGCTAATATACAAAAGCTTCCACGTAACATAGATCTCGGTTGCACGCTTGCCCACTGAATAACCGAGACGCAGGGTATGCGACGTTCGGCAAAATAGCTGACACCAATAGTGACTCTCCTGCAGCGCCGAGTGTCGCGTCTGGTATGGCTCTTCACGGCAAGCAACGACTTTTACCAATTTTTTTGGTCTCTAGGCTCTGTCGCTGGTTCTCCCTCTGCCGATTTCAAACCCACCCGCCGTGTGCGCGAACTACCTGGTGGACCGCGAACCAACATTTTTGCGGATGAGGACGTTCCCGACGCTCTGTCCATGGCGCCTCCGAAAGCGAAATCTGCAACCTCTGAAATCCCATCTTCATCTCCTGTAGTCGATGCTCCAGCAGCAGCAGCAGATGAAAAGGAAGAAAAGACAGAGGGTAATGCTACCACGGGCACCGGAATCAAACCAAGCAGGTGTGTACGACAGTGAGAGTACCGCTTCGACATATGAACTTGTGTTAGACGTGTTCGAGAGGCCCCCGGCGGTAATAGCAGCCTTCAGAGTATTTGGGGTTCAGATGAACCCGAAGAATTCAAACCAACTCGCCGGTACAGATCCTTTCCGTTTGATTCGTTACAAGAGAACTTACGTGCATGTGCCTTAGCGTACGACAGGCCCCTGGGGGTGGAACTTCCGGTGTAAGTTAAGAAGTGTTGTCGTTCGAACATGAGTAACTGACATTTTAGATATTTTAATCGACTCCGGGCATCATGATCTAGCGACGGATACATATAGTTGTGTTTTGTAACTTGTGGAATTGAAAAAAGACGTGATAATCAGACTATTGAAGTTGCAAAAATATTTGGCCGAAGCGAGGATCGAACTCGCGCGGGCGTACACCCATCAGGAATCAAGGGAAGAGACTTAAATCTGACACCTTAACCACTCGGTCATCCGGCCAAGCACAAAAGTACCTCCTCCTGATCTTATGGTTTTACTACGGTACCAATGGTGCCCAGAAAATAGTAAAAACGGAATATACATCGAGGACAACCATGAACATCTGTACTACGTGGTTCCACTTGGTGGCGCCCAGGACATAGGCTGGGGTCGTACACCGGACCCAAGGACCGGCCCAGGCAACGATGTGACTAAAGGGGGCGACGAACTCGAACCGTTTGGAAGGAGTGGTGGCGGTGGTGCAGTCGCCGTTCCAAGACTGCGGATTATGAGTTGAAACAATCGGAATAGAATAAAGTACGATAGCATACGCGCCTAGAATCTTGGGACGGTGTAGCCGACAGGGGAAGTACATTTGTGGTGGGAGGAGCGGGGTTCGATAGTGCGGGCTCTGCATTAATCTGTAGAAATCCGGCCTGGGCAAGGAAATCCCAGACCCTGCTGGTTTTGTTGACATCGATTTTGACCAGATCCCTTGCTTCTCTCCGCCGTAGCTTGCCACCCCTTCTTGCATATTCACGGACCAGAGTCTCCTTAACGACGAGGTAAGGTTTGGGAAGGATGCGAAGTTGTGAACAAAGGGTTTGCTCAGTAGCCGTGAGGAGGTGAAGAGATGGGCTGTTGGCGAGATTCAATGGAGCTGACAAGGGCGTGAGACTCTTTCAAAGGTTGAATGAATAAATGGATTACCTCGTTTCCGAGCATTGGCATGCGCATTAACGTCTGCCAGTTTCGGCGTCATTTCGCGGTCATGACTCTTTCTACCCTCGGGAGCCTGACTTGAACGGTCAGGGCCGGAGGATTGTCGCCCGGCCGCTCTGTTCTGTTTCTCCGAGGCATAATACTCTCGTGGATTGGTTTTTATCTGAGTCTGTGTGTCTGTTGTCGAATGTAAAGGGGGCAAGAAAAATAAATGTACGAACCCGTTTGGCTACGTCGTTTATGTATTTGTCAATGTCAGCTGCAGTTGACAGCCCGAGTCGACGATATTGTTGCAAATCTTGAATCTTCTTCCGGAGCATAGCTTCGTCTGATCCACGAATCCGATGAGCACAGAAATCAGAATAGCGGAGTACTAACTGGCGTACAAAGAATATCGGCGGAAAAAGACTCGTAATCTTCAGCCGTTTGAAGTCGCGCAAAAGGTCGGAGTCGATGGATGATATCCTTTTCTTCTTTTAGCCTTTTCTTTTCTGCCGCTTGCATCTATGAAAGAAATTAGTGGATGAAGAGGCACTGAGTTAACAGCCTCACTTTTTTGTATTCCAAAAGCCCACGATCAAACATTAGTCTCTTGCTCTCTAGACGTTTTTCAACCCGCTGAGCATACATCTCTAAAAGGGTAAGCTTGAATGTCAGGGAGTGCTGCGTTTCAACGGGAGGTAGTTGAGCGACTTCTTCTGCCTCTTCATCCGCAGTGCCCGTCCCATTGCCCATAACCACGTCCTCGGACTGGGATGACGGTTTCGTGTGTGCAGAAACGTCGCCATTGACGTTTGACCTAAATCCATTGACTGCGCCATTGGATACGCCATTAGCAAGAGGCATGGGACCCTTTCCTTTGTGTACCAATTTGCGTTCTGGTACAACAACCGTGGAACCAGGGATGATCCCATTCCGCTTGTCTTCCTCCCATCGGACTCGGGCCTTCACATCGAGATCATTCTCGTCCTCGATAATTTGGTCACCACCAAACTCCAGACACACCCCGAATTCAAGATCCTTGACAAGATCCTCGGCCTCGTTGTCGAGTTCATGTTCGAACTCCAAACGTCCCGGAAGGAATGTAGCAATTTCGTGTATTCCCGGAGCGGAAGTAGGCGCAGTCTTCGGGGTAGGAGCAGCCATAGCGTTCATTTCCGTAATCCGTCTCCGCTTTGTTTCTTGGAACTCCTCCGGAGGTACATCGAATTTAAGGTCCATCCGCTTCAAAGAGTTAGAATGCGCGCGCAAAAAGCAAAATAAACTTACGGGCATAGGCCAATCCGGTGAATCGACGTAAACTTCATTGTAGTGCTTCTCGACTTCCTCTTTGGTCTGGGTACCGACATGCTCTGCGATCTTCTTCCAATTGCCGAGACCTTGGCTCGCTACGCCCTTCAATAAGAGCAACTCTCTGAGGGATATAAGTTTAGGGACAAAGTCTTCGATCACAGGACTGACTCGTCGGCTCCCCAGTCAGCGGAGAAGATTGGATACGAATTGAATTCCTAAACGCGGACTTTAATTCAGTGGCGTGCAGTCACAATTTTGGCGCACAATAACGCGGTATGCATGGCCTCTAAGGTGATTCCCAAATTCTTTTCCGGCACAAAAGCAAGGGGGGCATATGTCGACTCCATCCTCTGACTGGCAAGCTGGGTCGGCGCATTTTATGCGAATAGTGTGCGTAAGGTCACAAGCACAGGAATCACACTCGAACTGAACACCTGGCTCATTGACGGCTAGAGAGATTCCGGTGAGTGAACAGTCGTGTCCTGGAGGATAAACTTGCTTGTAATTTCGTCAGGTTGGAGTGGCGGTTTCCGATGGGTCACGGTCATAACTTTGAGCTGTCGACGAATCTAGCCCAACGAGGAGCCTTATATTACCAGAAGATCCCAAGGTGTTGCGGTAGAATACAAGCTCGCGAGACGCGAAAACAGAGAACACTAACAGATTCGCGACTGGGGTAAGCGAAAGAGATGATCGCCGGTGCTGAAAGGATGTTTGCGATCAGGCTGGCCAAGCAAACAATCCATCACAGTCGCACACTTCACATCTACTTTGACTATATCCACCGTTCCACTACGCAACTTGCGTCCCAAAAATGCCCCGAAAAGACACCCCGCAAGGCGCCATATCCGCACAGGCTCAGCAAGAACTTGTTTCTGAAGGCATAGAAAACTTCGAGCTCCCCAAATCGCTCGTGACAAGGATTGCCAGATCTGCGGTGCGTTCACCCTGTTCTTCGTCGAGCGGTCCTTAATCACGACCCTTCAAGCTTCCAGAAAACGTGAAGATGCAAAAAGAGACTGTTCTATCGCTCATCAAGGGCTCGACTGTCTTCATCAACTATTTAGGTACGTTGGATGCTTCGTCGTGACAAGTCGCGTCTCTGGGCTGAACTCGACGCGTCGTACAGCTGCTACGCGAGTCTCCATTTAATCCCTTTACCGGCAGCGATCTTGACGCGTTTCCTCTCAAGTGCCCATGACGTGGCTCTATCCAAGCAACACAAAAGTATCTCGGCGTCAGACGTGCTCAAGGCCCTGGAGATGATTGAATTCGGAGATCTTGTGGACAAGCTCCAAGCCGAACTCACAGGTGCGTCGAAATCCCAATTTAAATCATGTCCATGCTCATCACCGTGCATGTAGTCTACCGCGAGCAGGCAAAGACCGACAAGAGCAAGAAAGGTAGCTCTAACGTTAATAGCAGCGTGGTCAAGGGCAAAACCACTTCAGTCGCGTCTACACCCAAATCTGGCAAAGGGAAGGAGAAGGCGACAATCGTCCTGCCTGCGTCGGCGTTCACCTCCGCTCCTCTCGATGCGGACCCAACCGAATCGATATCGTCAGGCCCGGGCATGGCGATGGATGTCGATGACGAAGTCGATGTCGACGCAGATCCTTTCGTCCAGGTGGAAACTGACGGAGAGGGCGAAGGCCGACCGGAAGAGGAAGAGGAGGAGCCGGAAGAGCCGGAGGACCCCGAAGACATTGATGAGGAACCGGAGGAACTCGTCGATACCACTGCCCTTGACATGCAGGACTTGCAACGGGACTCTAGAGGGCCAGAGGAGCCTCTAGCAGATATGGATGAGTAGGCGACGCGGTTTAAGCATGAGTCCCGTAGGTGTATTTATACATGTACAAGCATAGCAAGAACAATTCGACGGCTGGGATGCAATGAGATTTTAGTCGAAAAACATCAATGCTATTACGGTCCACATCCCATCGTCTGGTACAAAAGTCAACCAATAATGCGCGTAACGTCTCCTGCCTATATGTCCTTGCCCATGTCTTCCCCCCTTTACTCGGCGTCCGGATCGTAATGCCAGTGGGCATTGAACATGGTCTCCTCATGGTACGGTTCACGGGCAACCCAACGCGCAAATGCTTCTTGTTCGTCGTCGACTGTAGTTCGGATAGCCCGCTTGGAGATGTTGGTCATGAGGAAGTGGTGCCTCGACTCTTCCTCGACGATCATTCGTTCATTCGCTCTATGATAGGCCCAAAGCACTTCTCTTATTCTTCAAACAATGGTGGTAAGCAAAGGGAATCAAGACATGCAAAAAGTTCTCGCACTCATCAATGCGACGGTCAAGCATTTGCCAGTTCGAGACCTTATTTAGTCGCCACATTGCAAGAACCTTGTCTTCATCCTCCTCGTGGATCAAAGTCAAAGGAGCTGCACAGTCATTTTACCAAGTTCCACGAGCTCTTTAGCTCCCTCTAAAGCCGCTACTATCTCGGTATTGGCAAATTCAAGGAAATACCGGTCGAGAATGAGAGGTATGCGGATATCGTTCTTCGGCGACAGAACTTGTTTCACGGAGTCTCCGTATGTGATTCGGGTAGCGCGGATCTCGAGTTTTTTCTTTCTGTCAGCGATATAGCGAAAGTTTTCCAAAACAACTTCAGTCTCCTGCTGGTTGTGGCTATCCAAGGCTTTCTTAAATTCGCTCAGGTTAAAGCTGCGGTCCCATTTATATCTGTTTGTTTATGCGATGAATGAATGCCCTTCGCTCCCAAAAGGGAAGAAAGAACAATACGCACGCCGGGGAATCGTCATACGCGAGCTCAACCCTTCCACCTTCGCCGTATGTGTCTGTGGCCCACAGGTCCTCGAATATCCTACGCATGGACGGTCAAGGATGCATAAAACAAGTTGAAAACTGGACGCACGCGATCTTTCCTTCAACTTCTTTCTCCCATAGAGCCACATGTCGCATGAACAGGCTGAATCCCGTTAAACAACTCCGACCTAGTGGCTCACTGGTGTTTTGCGCATAACTT